ATCAGCAGAGGTGGATTGCAAGCCATGTACACGGCGCCATCTTACCGGAAGTCTGTGATCTGTGAAAGAGCAGAAATGTTTCAGTGAGAAAAGATCTTCAGGAGATGTGCTCCTGAATTTATTAAAATCATGGCTCCATTTTAACTTTCTCCTCCTGCTCCTCCTGCAGCCCGCCTGAAGCCCGTACCTCCTCCCTCCTCCTCGGCTCTCATGCACTCAGACTCGGAGTTTGACAGCGATGAAAGACAGGAGCGTGGACACCTGCTTCGACCCCAGAACGGCTCCCTGAGGAACGGCCAGGGGCCCCCGAGGGCCCTGAAGCCCAGAGAGGAGCACCTATAGCAGTAGCTCCTCTTCATCGATGAAGGCTGACTGTTGTTTCTGCTCCGACTCTGAGCCAGAGCCAGGAGGAGACTACACCATCCTGATCCCTGAGGGGGTTCTGACCCACTCCAAATGGTTACACACTGAAAGAGGAAGTTACCTGTTTTACTTCCTGTCTCACACAGGCACGCTCAGACCAAACACTGCCTCTGACCCAAACAGAACCACCGGTACCACCAGACCCGCCTCCCCCTGCATGAGGAGTGGCGGGCCGACACCGAAGCATCTGCTGCATGGTTGTGTGTTTTCTGCGTGTCATCAAGGCTTTTATTCTGAAGGCCGGCTGCAGATCCAACAGACTCTTACTGTGAAGGCCTGTGAGTGACTTTAACAAACACTGGAGAGCGCAGCGAGGAGGAGGAGGAGGATGAAGACGCTGACGAACACAAGCTGCACTTTGATGTAACGTCTCGTTTTGTTGTTGGTGTGAATTTTCAAACTTTGTTCCTGTTTGAGTCAGAAGTCGATAAAGTTTTATTCCTGAGGGTTCGTTTTCTCCTCTGCTTTTATGTTCATCTCTGTTGAGGGTCACAGCTGCAGGGGATGTTGGGACGAGTCTTCCTGGTCCTACGAGCCAACATCTCGTCACAGTGAGGGTTCTGCTGCTGCCTTTCACTTTAAATAAATCAGATTTCTTTGTTTCTGCCGTTAAAGACGCAGAATCTAAACTTTTATTTCAACACGTTTGAAGAGACTCATCCATCAGGGTTCTGATGGTCGGACCGAACAGAACCGGCCTGATAGTCCCAACGTTGAGCCTGGACCAGACGTGAGGCGCACCGAGCTGACCTCGACTCTGCAGAGTTCACTGACGCAGAACCTGAATGTTTTTTTTCTGCTGCAACCGGACCGTCTGTCAAGTCCAAATAAAATGTTCTGGTTTTGAACCGTTTATGGTCCAAGCAGCTCATTACTGTTCTGGCACCTGTTGTTATTCCTCTGGAAGTGTCTCTACATTTCTGTCTCCATTAATGCGGCCCGAACCACAATGTCTACACAAGTGTGTCATTGAATGCATCATGTAGTCATTGCGTCATTGAATGCAT